GGCGGGAAAGGCTGAGGCAGGGGGCGGGGAGGTGACGCGGGCAGAGCCGGAACGCGAAAAATCCGTCGGGGGCGCGCACGGGCGCCGGATCGATCGCGGCCGCTGCGGAGCCGGGGCGCGGAGACCAACGCCTGCCCCAGCTGCCAGGAAACTGCCGCTTTCAAACCCGCCGCAACCTCCGCCTCCTGCCTCTTCCCTTCCCCCCGCCCTCGCCCAGCCCTCTTCCAGTGCCCCGCCCCCTCGCGGCGCCCGGCGCGCTGCCGTCACCGGCCGGGCGCTCGGGAACGAGCCCAGCACTCAACTCTCTCGCCGGGGATTGGCCTGCGGCGGGCAGCGGGCGGGCCGTCGGCGAGAATGAAGACCACTAATTGGTTAGTGGGAGTGGAGGGGGCGGGTACTAGGATGACTGAAGTTTAGAGAGGGTGGAAAAAAAAAGTTTGGAGAGTGAGGGAGGGCGGAGGGGAGGGGCCGCGGAGTGGAGCTGACTGCGGATCGCCGGACGCGAGAGGCCCTCTGTCCCGCGGCCGGAGCCCAGAAAACTCGGATACCAAGTGACCAAACTCCTCGAGGTGGGGGCGTGGCTGGCAAGCCAGGCGGAGACGGGGCGGAGCCTCAGAGCCTGCTTGGGGCACCCAGAGAACCCGTGTGCTTGATTGGAAGACTACGTGCAGAATCTCGAGCTGTCCGCCGTGGCGGGGCCTCTGGAGTGGCCCGCGACAGCCGATCGCTTATATTGTGTCAGTGATTCTTGTTCGTCCATTCTCCACCGTGTTTTTGAACGCCAGTTGGGGCAGGGCTTTGGAGTCGCGTCAAATTAGAGTCCTGCACTTAACTGCTGTGTGACCTCAGGCAAATTAGAGAGCCTTTCCGAACTAAAAGTCCTCAGGTAAAAAGTGAAAATGATTGTACCTATCCGTCCAAACTGTTGTGAAGAGTACATGGATATATAAAAGATCTGCATTGTGCCTGGCAAAGGGTGGCTGCTCCTTAACATTTAGTAGCTGATAATGTTGATGAAGGACAACGACTGTGTCAGAAGTTGTGCTAGATGCTGGGGTTTAAAGACGAAGAAGACAGAAGCCCAGCTCTGAAGGAAGTTAGGGTCTAGTGGGAGAGACTGTCAAGTAAGCAGATTACTGGGGGCGGGGCGGGGGGGCGGTTGGAAGGTGCGTTAGGAACTAGCAGACCTGAGTTGGAGTCTCTTGGCACGCTACTTACTTGCTGTTTGACCTTGGTCGAATTTCTGTTTCAAGGTTATTCATCCGTAAAGGAGGTGAAAGGAGAAGTAATATCAAATAAAGGAGACCTTAGATCTCTTCCAGCACCATTTTTTCTTTTTTTAAATTCTTTTTACTTTAAAGAGAAAAGGAAACAAAATAACAACAAAGATAAAAACAAAACACAAAAACCAATAAAAACAATACAGAATTTGAAAACAAGATGATAGGAATTTAACAATGGTAGTTACAGTACATATTGTTATCTTCAATGAAGATGCTCTGATTACCAGATGTAAGAATGCAAGATTGATCAATTAAGAAGAATAAAATATAATTTTTCAGAAAACATTAGAAACTACAGAGTTTCACTAATCAAGATGGTAGGAATTCAACAATGGTTGTTATATTGCATATTGTTGTCTTCAAGTTAGTTGTTCAGATTACCAGATCTAAGCATGCAAAATTGGTAGAGATTTAAGCATTAACTGTTCCTTTCAATAAACCAATAGACATCAGCAGTTCAATTATCCCAGCTATCCTTGCACATACATATATGTTTTTCCCTTGCTTTTTTTCTCCTTTCCTTCATCCCAGTTGTTCCTTCCCTTTGAGCAGTTTGTTTCCCTTTCACAATGTCTATTGTACCTTTCGAACTTTATTTACCCTTTCAGGTTCTTACAGTAGGGAGACAATATGATGTTTATACATGTGAGTCTGCTTTATTTCACTTATGAGTATGGTCTCTAGTTGCCTCCATTTACCTATAAAAGCCTGGAGTCTATCTTTCTTTATAGCTGAGTAATACTCCATTGTATAAAGATACCATATCTTTTTGTCCCTTCCTCAACTGATGGGCATTTGGGTTGTTTCCAAGATTTAGCTCTTACAAATTGCACTGCTATAAACATGGCTACACATATATCACTGTGGTATGTTTTCAGTTCTTCTGGAAAAATACCCAGAAAAGAAATAGCTGGGTTGAGTGGAACCTCTAATCCTAGTTTTTTGAGGAATTTCCACACTGATTTCCACAATGGTTGCACCAGTCTACACTCTGCCAATAGTGGAGAAGAATTCCTTTTTCCCATACAGCTCCTCCAGCATTTGTTATTGGTTAACTTCTTAATGATGGCCATTCTTTCTAGGGTAAGATGGAATCTCAGTGTTGTTTTAATTTGCATTTCTTGAATGACCAATGATGTTGAACATTTTTTCATATATTTGTTTGCCACTTGTATTTCTTCATCTGAGAAGCATATATTCATCTCAGATGCCTATTTTTGGATTGGGTCTTTGAATTTGGGTGGGCTGATGTTTTTTAATTCTTTATATGTTCTAGATAGAAGTACTCTCACAGGATGGAAAACACAGAAGAAATAGACAGATTCCTAGATACAGATGAATTGCCAAAGCTGAATCAAGAAAATATAAAAATTCTCGTGCTTGCTTCTGCAGCACATATACTAAAAAGAAGATATAAAAATTCTGAATAATCCAATATCAGTCAATGAAATTGAAAATGTAATTAAAAACCTACCAACAAAGAAAACCCAGGTCCTGACAGATTCACAGCTGAATTCTACAAGAAATTTAGAGAAGATTTAAACCAATTCTTCTCAAACTCTTTAATGAAATTGAAAGGGAAACAATTCTCCCTAATTCATTCCTAGAGGCAAGTATTACCCTGATACCAAAACCAGAGAAAGACCCAAACAAAAAAGAGAACTACAGCCCTATCTCCCTAATGAATATAGATGCAAAAATTCTCCAAAAAAAATGCACCAATTTTTCAGCAACTCCTCACTGGCTTCTCTCCTCCATGGTCTGACACCCATTCTTCACTGTCTTTAGAATGCCCTTGGCCCCATCTCTTTTAAAAATCCTACCCACTCACCCCAGATGCCCTCTCTTCCAGGTAGCGTCTTCTGACTTCTCAGTCGCAAGTCATAAGTGTTTTGTCTGAGCTATACTTTGTTTCAATTTGTGACATGACATTTATGTTGTCTCCTGTCTTCCTTTGATGGCGGCAGAAAGCCCTTATTTAGTTATGAGTAACTCCACACAATCTCACCACATCTTAGACAGGACCCAGCTTCCAAGGCTGTCCTGATTTTGGTTCACACCATTGTATCAGTCAGAGTCCTGGCAGGAAACAAATGGCACCTTACAAAGATGCTGGCGGGGCGTGGGAAACCACAAGGGAAGTGTGGAACCCTGGGGCTACGGCTCCTCCACCTATGAAAGCCAGACTTTAGCAGAGAGGGCTACCTGACAGGCGCCTGTGACCTTCAGTCAAAGCATGCAGTCAGCTTAAGTAATTATCCAGAAAAAAAGGCTGGGAGATCTGTATCTCACCACCCTCCTCCGCCCTGCAGAGACATCCCCACGGCCTGATCTGCCTGGAAGCCACGGCAAGAGAGGCTCTTGATGCAGTCCATGATAGCCAGGCTCATGGAAGAGAGGAACAGGGTATCTGATAGGTAACAGAAGAAATATTAAGCACAGATAGAATGTGGGCTGTTCAGATGTGCCCAGGTCTGAGATAAAGCTTTTTTTGTTTGCCCTGAACAAGTATCTGTACTAATGGATTCCTGGATTCAACCCTGATAATCATCACATTATCTATTTTTGCTATAATTTTTTCCCTGCCTACACTGTATCTGTTAGAATGATTTTGGCTTCAAGAAACAAACTATCTGTAAAACAAGAGGTCATTTATTACATCATTAACATAAAGTTCAAGTGTGGGCACTTTCAGGGCTAATTCAGTGGTAGGATCATGTTACTGAGGAGCTAACCTCTTTTCCTGTTTAGTTTCTGCCACCATATATATATTGGCTTTTGTCTCCAAGTTTATCACCTCTTAATTACAATATGGCTGCCACAGCACCAGATATCACTGACACAAAATCAGAGCAGGTTAAAGAAATGCCGCTCCCATTTTTATAAAAGAGAAAATCTTTCCTAGACTTTCACTATTATTGGCTAAAAAAAATTCACATGCCCACTTCAGACCAGTCACTGACAAAAGGAAATGGCATTCCATAGTTCACTAACTTGATCATGGGTCACCCAAACAAAGTAGGGGTTCTGTTTGAGAGCAGAAAGGAAAAAGACTTATTAAGTAGGTATCCAACAGTGTCTGGCACATGCCTTAATTACAAATTGACTCTTAGGCATAAAACTGCAGTGATTATGAACTGAAGCTTTAGGGTCAGGCTGCACATTTGGCTCCCCTGTTTGCTGGCTCTGTGGTCCTCAGCTAGCTACTGAATCTCACCTGACCTGTTTCTGCATCCACAAAATGGATATTACAACAGTGCTTAACTGGGATTGGAAGATTATTTCTAGAATTCATGGGGGTTGGTGGATTATTTCTAATATCGTCAAAACTGTATGAAGCTATTATAAGGTGAGTTATCGTCAAAACTGTATGAAGCTATTATAAGGTGCTTAACTGAGTTATCGTGAAAACGGTATGAAGCTTGGGGCTGGGGATTTAACTCAGTGGCACAGTGCCTACCTGGCAAGCACAAGGTCGTGATTTCGATTCCCGGTACTGGAAAAAAACCGAAAAACAAAACAAAACAAAAAACTATATGAAGCTATATGAGTCGAGTGTAACATATAGCAAACATTCAACAAATTATTTTAGTTTGTGCAGAATTGTAATATTTGTGACAAGGCTAAGCACATCACTAATCACTTTTGCAACTTTGTAAATGTTAAATTCAACCATTTTAGTATGCTTAGGTTCAGTTTTTTAAAGATATTAGAAATAATCCACCAACCCCCATGAATTCTAGAAATAATCTTCCAATCCCAATGAATTACTTCTAGTAAAACAGTGTTCTGGAAATTATTACACAATTGAATTAAAAGGGTCACATTATAAACTTTGTCTTTTAAATGACAATTAGATTGTATCCATGTTTATTACTGCTTCCCAAAACTCATGATTGGCTTAAGAGTTATGATTTCCATTAGGAAATGTCAATAAGCCAAAATACGGAACATAGTTTAACAAAAATAACTGAGATGATTTGATTTGGTGATTCCCAACGCTTATTAGGGCTCTCTTTAATTTTAGAAATAGAGATAGGCTTTGATATGAAAATCATATAAGTTAGGTCCAAAGATGGCTACAGTAG